GATGATGCAGAAAGGCCGAGTGTTTCGTGTAAACAGTGAAATAAACGGGCGCATGTTTCCACAATAAACAAAACCTCTTTTCAACTTCTTTATGAACTTTATTTAAATCTCTCTTTTATATTTTAGTAATAATTCAAGCAAACAGAGATTAAATAATGTAAATATAAATAAAGAACAGTTCTAAATTCACCTAAAAAAATAAATCTACAATTGTTCAGAAAAAAATTGGTCAAACTTTCCACTATTTTACTGACAAACTATATATACATACATATATATATGTATGTATATATATATGTATAAAACACACTTTACATTGTATATTTAGTACATTATATATTTATATATATATTATGTATAAAATATACAATGTAAAGGGAGGTTGACATTCCTTCTTCTATATTCCTTAAAAAAAATCTTTCTTGTAAAAAACAAGTTTACAGATGGACCTATGAGGAAAGTGGGTGGGACTTGGCCCCCACTAATCCCCCCACAGCCACACACTTGCTGCTGCTTGTCCAGGACCATAAAAGATAATTTATGATTAAAGACCAAAACAAGAAGTGACTGGAAAAAGCATTTTTCAAAGTAAGTTTGAATTTTAATGGTTTTATTTTAATGTTTTTTGCTTCGTGGAGTTTGTTTGTTTTGTTCTGGAGCTTTTCTTTGTTCAGCTCAACCGTCATTTCTTTATCAGCACAATCCAGCTCAACTGGTTTTTATACAGTTTTTATTATTTTAAATATTACAAGAATAATGCTCTTTATTATTATTTTTTAACTCCAAGAGTTGTTTTTCCAACAAAGCAGCTTCCACATAAACAAAAAGATCATTTTTATGTTAAAGGTAACTGTTGGTAAAATCATCTCCGGTAAATTAAAACAAGTTTCAGTTTAAAGAAAGTCCTTTAGTCAGAATAATGTTTAGGTTATTCATGTGTTGAATCTTATTAAAGCTCCTTCTTTTCTTTGAGTCCTTTAAAGGCAGACATCTTTTATTCTTTGTCCTTCTTTGTCTACGATCATCTTTCAGTTTCAGGTCATCTTCAAGTTTCTGCAACATCTGGCTCTTTAAAACAGCTGGAAATAAAAGAATTCTCTCCGGTCGTTTTATTTCAGACCACGTGTAGCTTTAACTGAATCTACTTCTTTTGTTTAGTGAGTGGGCAGATGTTTGAGCACCTCTGTGTCCTCACCAGGGTCAGAGAGACGTTTCACACGTTCATCAAGCTTTGATCTTCATCTCTGACCTGCAGCTCCTCGTCAGTGTTTCATGTTTGACCTTCAGCTGCTGGAGGAGCCGAGAACTTCTCTTGAGACTCGAGAAGAAAAGAAACAAGAACAACGTCAGGTTGACTGAAAGAACAAAGACTGGCACGTTCAGACAGCATCCATCCAACATCCATCATCTTTACTCGCTTCTTCCGTTTCAGGTCACGGGGGGGTCACTGGTGTCCATGTCCAACAATCACTGTGCAAGAGATGGGGGACACCCTGGACAGGTCTCCAGTCAATCACAGGGACACCTAGAGACAATTTAGAGTTACCAGTCAGCCTAACATGCATGTTTTTGGTCTGTGGGAGGAAACTGGAGTACCTGGAGAAAACACACGCAGCACGGAGAGAACATGCAAACTCCACCCAGAAAGGCCCCCCCGGACCGGAATTTGAACCAACTGAACCACCGTGCCGTCCCGTTCAGACATATTTAAATTTATGAGCAGAGTTTCTGAACTGACCTTCAGTATTCAGACAGAAATGATTTCTCTACATAATAACACAATAAATTTATTTGGAGTTTTTATTAAAACCAAACAGTCAGAATGTCAAAATGAGCACAAACACTCATAAAAACATTAAACCTCATGAACACTAAGGACCAGTGTTTCTATAATCAGAGTCAGAGTCAGAGTCAGAGTTTCTTTATTGTCATTCGCACCTCATGTGGTACATGTGGTGGAGCGAAATTATGTACGCAGGGTCCCAGTTACATCCAACAATAAAATGTCTAAGAAAAACAGTAATAACATCTAAGATATGAACTAAGAAAAACATCAACTAAATATACACTAAGCACTCATAACATAAAAACATTGAACATCAGCACAAACATGAACATGAGTCTGTGAGCAGATGTGCACGCATGAACACATCAACATTGAAACAGATCAGCAGCAACATGAAACAGATCAGCAGCAACATGATATGGTTTTTCACAGTGATTATTCTAGTTAGAGATTCATGAGTCTAACAGCCTCAGGGTAGAAGCTGTTCCTCAGTCTAGTGGTTCTACACTTAATGCTCCTTAACCTCCTTCCTGAGGGGAGTGGGGCAAAAAGTGTGTGTGCTGGGTGGGTGGGGTCCTTCATGATGCAGGTGGCCCTCTTCCTGCATCTGGAGGTGTAGATGTCTGTGATGGTGGGGAGACTGATTCCAACAGATTTCTGTGCAGCCTTCACCACTCTCTG